TTTCCTCCAAAAGTCAATACATTCCCGTGTGTGATCAATAATTTCGCCCCACTGTTATTTTAACGATTTATGTAGCTAAGGAAGTCTTAAGTTGAATCGCAGTTCTATGATTTCGACAGTGAAATGGTTAAGGGGTGTAGGGTCCCAGAGTTCTGAAGGTCCACTAGAGACAGTGTGAACACAACAGACTCGGTTTTTTATAGGTACATAATAAGGGCGACCGCTACACTCAGTCTCGTTCACTTCTCCAACTATAAAGTTAGGGACTGTACTGTACTATACCTGTTCACAGCTGGGTGAACTGGGTAAAAACAGGTGACTCTTAAAGGCAGGATGTGAGTGATACAACCGTTCGGTTTAACTACCTCAGATAAATAAGTCAATATCAATACACTGATGACGGCACACACACCAATTATTACTTGCCACCTCATTGGTCAATTATATTCATTTGTGAACCAATATCTTTGAATATGATTGGATATATCTTCATCTGACGGTAAATCTAACCTCAAAACCTTGCCTTTAGTACGAGACCGAATTTAAGTTTTTTTTTTACCAAATCTGACTCAATTAGAGGATTAACCATCGTTCTAAATACTATTTTGTTGTTATTTATTTATTTTAGATAATATTTCTAAAATATTTTGTATATTCTCACTTTTTTGTATAACCTGAACTGCAGGTGACGCCCCACCAACCAGTGTTCCGAGTAAATCCTGGGTTTTGCACAGCTGACACTAAAAAATTAAGCTTTTACTGTAGTGGTGAAGACCCTCAGTAACAGTGGTGGAGACCCTCAGTAACAGTGGTGGAGACCTTCAGTAATAGTGGTGGAGACCCTCAGTAACAGTGGTGGAGACCCTCAGTAACAGTGGTGGAGACCTTCAGTAATAGTGGTGGAGACCTTCAGTAACAGTGGTTGAGACCGTCAGTAACAGTGGTGGAGACCTTCAGTAACAGTGGTGGAGACCTTCAGTATCAGTGGTGGAGACCCTCAGTAAAAGTGGTGGAGACCCTCAGTAACAGTGGTGGGGACCTTCAGGACCTTCTGCACATTTTTGGTGGGGGACCTTCAGTGCAACAGTGGTGGGGAACCTCAGCAAGGTGGTGGGACCTTCAGTAACATTGGTGGGGGAATTTCAGTAACAGTGGTGGGGACCTCAGTAACAGTGTGTGGTGGTCTTCTAGCAACAGTAGTGGTGGGAGACCCTCAGTTACAGTGGTGGGACTGCACAGTGTGGTGGAGACCTTTCAGTGACACAGTGGTGGAGACCTCAGTAACAGGGTGGAGATCTCAGTCAGTAACAGTGGTGCAGACCCTCAGAAGCAGTGGTGGAGATCCTCAGGAACAGTGGTGCAGACCCTCAGTAACAGTGGTGGAGTGGTGGAGACCCTCAGTAACAGTGGTGCAGACCCTCAGTAACAGTGGTGGAGACCCTCAGTAACAGTGGTGCAGACCCTCAGTAACAGTGGTGCAGACCCTCAGTAACAGTAGTGCAGACCCTCAGTAACAGTGGTTGGAGACCCTCAGTAACAGTGGTTTACTTCCTCCACAGCGATCAGGTTTACGGTTTCCTGTAACACTGTGTCTCTGATGTTTGTTTTTGTTCAGTCACCTTTGGGCAGTAAAAGTTAAACCAAAGCGGTGATCCACGTTTCTCTGTCAATATAGTGGAAGTTGGTCTAATGAACATGACGGTGGATACAGCATTTTTCTTTAACAAATTAGTACAGAAGAGGCAACAACGTGGAAAACACTGCACCTTCCACAACAAGACTCAGATGTTTTATTCGTAGCTGGGACGACCGAAGGTGCCCTGGGAGCGAGCCATCAACCCTCATGACAGAGGGTGAGCACTATAGTATATCCACTTAGTCACCGCAGGTTTGTAAACACAGAGTAAGCGAAAAATAATTCAGTATCAAGGTGATAAGTTAGTGCATGTAGTGTCCTCGTGCGTGGAGTGTCCTAGTGCGTGGAGTGAGGTTAAATTTTTTTTTTTTTTTTTTTGCATTGCGACTTTTTGACAACTAAAAACAATAATGTATAGCAAGTAAATATTATTTTAATTTCTCCTCCAGCATCAACTTTTTGCTAGCACATAAAAAAATCCAAGATACAAGAGGGAAAAACCCTTGCCTTAAGCGGCCCCTACACGGTTCAATATTATTGCACAAAAACTTGTCAGTACACCAACGCTCATAGAGGTATCATGCCAGACACAGATAAGGCGTGTATAGCCGTTGCATTAGCTTATTGTGTTCAGAAAAAAAAAACGTCGGTGGATGAGTGGTACATGAAAAGGCATCAATATAGTCATTGAAATTTGTTAACATAAGAACATAAGAATGGAGGAAACTGCAGCGGGCCTATTGGCCCATACTGGGCAGTCCCGTTTACACCCAACCCCTATTGCTCATATAAGCATCCACCCTATGTTTGAACCTATTCAGCGTATTCGAGTTAATGATGATATTTGGTAACTTGTTCCATTCATCCACTACTCTGTTTCCAAACCAGTTGGATAGTTTGAGTACCTTTGTAATGTCCCCTTTGTTTAGCCCTGCCTTCCACTTGTACACCTCTATCAGGTCGCCCCTCGCTCTACGTCTCTCAAGGGAGTGCAAATTAAGATGCTTTAACCTGTCTCTATACTCAAGGTTCCTAATGCCCTGGATTAGTCTTGTCATTCTCCTCTGAATTCTTTCCAAGGATTTTATCCATTCTGTAATACGGTGACCAGAACTGAACTGCGTAATACAGGTGTGGTCTCACAAGAGCAAGATACAGTTTTAGGATGACCTCGCTAGTCTTGTAACTAACACTCCTTTGTATGAACCCAAGTACTTTATTAGCCTTGTTACGAGCAAAAACACATTGTTTACTTGGCTATAAGAGTCAGTGAACCACATGATTTCAATTTTTTTATGCGCATGGATGTTACAACATTTGATGATTTACTTAAGATGGTAACCCCCGATGATTTCCCAAAAGAACACTGTCATGCGGGAGTGTATCACTGCAAGTCACCAGTTATCAGTAACATTGCACTACCTGCATGGCCACCGGCAGCACATTTGAAGATCTTAAATTTAGTAGCGCAGTGGCCCCTCAGGCAGTTAGCTGTATCATGATGGAGACATGTGAAGCTATTATACAATGCCTCAAAGGATATATAAAAGTCCTTCGTGGCAGACATGTTGACGGAAGACACGTTGCTGCGGCGAAGGTAATAGACACACTGACGAGTTATTGCGCGAAAATACACTCACATGCCGCAATAGTACACATATTGCGCAATGAAAATCAAACCGAATTTGATTCCTTCAATATAATGTGTTATTCTTCAATGATGTCCCATAACAACCAATAATATTGCGCAATACTACAAACTCTAACCTACGTTTTACAGATAAAATTTGCAAACCTTAGTTAAGCCATGTGAGGCCGATAGTTTAATCCCTTTGAGGACGATGGTTTAACCCTATCAGGCCACTACCCAGCCTCCCTTTGTGTAGGTTTATCACGGCTGACGACCACCTGTTGGCTACTATTGATCCTCTTGAACCAGCAGGAGGACGACACACAACACCCTGCACCAACGACCTGTACTGATGGGTAATACACTGAATTATATGGGAAGGATTTTCTTCATTTACTCTTGTTAATGTGACTATGTAGACGAAATGGAGAAAAATCGTTTTTTTTTGTCTGGATAGAAAAAAGGCGGAAATTTTTATGTGTCTGTTCACATATCAGTGAGGCTAGTTTGTCTGTCTATGCTGACTAGAATACCTAAATTGTATCTGCTGCCAAGACACACACACACACACACACACACACACACACACTCTACTGCCTTGGGTGACAATCACTATTTGGTAAAGAGAATATTATTGAACGTGTGTGGGCCGTTGAAGGGTTGCACATTATATTGACGGGTTCCCAATAATATTGCGTGGCTGGTGGCAGCCGCAGTTGTATTGCGCAATATTTCGTCAGTCTGTGTCTGAACATAAGAAAATAGGGAGTCTGCAATAGGCCGGTTGGCCTGTGCATGGCAGCTCCTGTCGAGAGTTACTACCACTCTCTATCATCCATGAATCTATCTAGCCTCCTTTTGAAACTTTCCATAGTTCCCGCACTTACTACAAAGTTGCTAAGTTTGTTCCACTCGTCCACCACCCTATTTGTGAACCAGTTTCTTCCTATCTCCCTCCTAAACCTAAACTTATCCAACTTGAATCCGTTGCTCCGAGTCCTATCCTGCTCGGATATTATAAGAACTTTATCTATATCCCCTTTATTGATTCCTTTCACCCACTTAAATACTTCTATCATATCTCCTCGCACTCTTCGTCTTTCTAGGGAATGCAAGTTAAGTTTCTTTAACCTATCCTGATATGGAAGGTTTCTAAGTCCCGGAATCATTTTTGTCATTCTTCGCTGCACCGACTCTAGTGAATTTATACCCATTCTATAATAGGGGCACCAGAACTGAACCGCATAATCGAGGTGCGGCCTGACTAGCGCAAGATATAGTTGCAATAAGACCCTGCACTCTGTGTTACTTACGTTTCTAGATATAAAACCCAATACTCTGTTTGCCTTATTTCGAACATTAACGCACTGTTTTCTAGGCCGTAGGTCCGGGCTTGCAAGTACCCCTAGGTCTCTTTCACAAGTCGACTTCTCTAGGTTGATGTTGTTAAGGCTGTATACATTATACGTATTTGTTCTTCCAATATTAAGTACGCTGCACTTGCTGGTGTTGAATTTCATTTGCCATTTTTCAGATCACCCCTGCAGTTTATTTAGATCCTCCTGTAATGCATTAGCATCCTGCCCCGAATTTATTTGCCGCCCTATTTTGGTGTCATCCGCAAACTTGCTTATGTCACTGCTGATCCCAGTATCTAGATCGTTTATGTAGATTATGAACAAGAGTGGGCCCAGTACTGATCCCTGGGGAACCCCACTGGTTACACGGCCCCACTCAGATTTAACACCATCTAAGCTGACCCTCTGCGTTCTATCGGTGAGCCATGATTTTATCCAATTTAACACTTTCCCATCCCCTGGAGGTCAGGGCTGTCGGAATTTCCGACTCTTGTTTATCGAACACGGTGATTGTGTACTTCGGTACTTCGTCTGCTAATCGGTAAATTGATGACGTAGTCGGTAAGCCGTGACGTCACTGCTGCGACAGTCGATAAATTTCCGACTTTAGGAAATATACTTTTTCATGGCTAAAATACCATATAGAATATACATAAATAAATTTTAGATGTATTTAATTACCTTACCTACATTTTACGAGCGATATTTTAGCAGAATTATATTCTGCTGAGTCACACACGAAGCGATATCGAGAGTCGAGACAAGGAAGCCAACGGTCTGTTCCAATGTGATCTCATTTAACACTCTGAATGGTGTATAATGCAGTGTTTATTATTCAGAAATTTATAAAATTAATGACAGGAACAATGAAATTCACCGAGTATGAGGACTACTCTAATATAATTACTGTATCTGGGATCTTCGTTATCCCTCACCACACATTATATTATAGAAAATAGTAATTACGTCATGGACTCACAACCAATCACAACGCGAGCAGTTGAACCAATCAGCGTGTTCGGTAAACAATATTCGGAAATTGCGACAGCCCAGCTGGAGGTCAACCAGTGAAGATGTCGGGTTCCATAGAAGAGCAGGAGGACAAAAGGTTCCTTTTGGAATGCATAGAGCTATATCGTTCACTCCCAGCGCTGTGGAAGAAAAAAAGAGATGACTTCAGTGACATCAATAAGAAGAAGGAAGCTTATGACATATTACTTCGAAAGTATCAAGAGAAATACCCACTAGCCACCAACGATGACGTGAAGAAGAAATTCAATACATTATGCAGAAAGTTTAGGAAGGAAATGAAGAAAGTGTCTAAGTCTAAGGAATCTGGTTCTGGTATTGAAGAAGTTTATGAACCAAAGCTTTGGTATTTTGATGAAATGCTCTTCCTCCAAGATCAAGAAACACAGTCGACATTTCCGAACACCATTGAGAACTTCGTAGAGGAGGTAAGTGTCAACAGTCCGTCATCGGTGATTACTTTATTTGCTGCTAATTTCATACACAGACATGTTTATGTTCTATATGTGCATATGATACATTTAAGAACACTTTTCACTTTGCCATGGAAGAGCTCCTTCGTTCAATTTAAGCATTCACGGTAGCTGTCCCTGATTGCTTTAGATCTGTTCGAACACCACTTAATCGGCATTTGGAAATTAGATGTGAATATTTTACCGGTTGTCGGACAAATAGTGGGTCGACCTGGTGTAGCTTATCTGCCCGGTTGTCATCAGAGGTAGTAAGATGTGGATGATCCAGGTATACCGCTCAAATAACCACTAATGAAATTAGTGTAGTGATGAAAGCCTCTCCCTAGTACAATATTATATTAGGGATATAAAATAATGTTCTATTATGTAGTGTTCTGCTATAATGTGTTAACGGTGTTGATAACGTTATTGTATCCTTAATACAGTGTCTGGATATTATATATATATATATATATATATATATATATATATATATATATATATATATATATATATATATATATATATATATAATATATATATATATATATATATATATATATATATATATATATATAATATATATATATATATATATATATATACATATATTCTATATATATATATATATATATATATATATATATATATATATATATATATGTTCAATATATATATATATATACATATTCAATATATATATATATACATATATATTCAATATATATATATATATATATATTCAATATATAATATATATATATATATATATATACAATATATATATTCAATATATATATATATATATATATATATATATATATATATATATATATATATTCAATATATATATATATATATATATATTATATATATATGTATATATTCATATACAGGGTGTCCCATAAATTTTCATACATAGGAAAAATAAATTTTATATGAAAATCCATTTTTATTTATATAATATGCTCTTCATGACTACCATTCTGTTGAAAACACTCTTCAATGCGTGTCCTCCACTGCTGAAGAACACGTTCAAGCACAGCTGGAGTTATGCTTGTAATGGCGTTGGTGATACGTTGTATAGAAACTTATGGAACACCCTGTATATATATATATATATATATATATATATATATA